TGCTCTCCGGCCCGCAGCAGGCCGGCGGTCTCCAGCTCCTGCCTGGGACGACGGGCACGCGCGCGCGCCCGCAGCGGTGGCGGGGGAGGCGTGCGGGGACGGGGCGCACGCGCGCGCGGGGAGGAGTGGAGCTGGGTGCGGGCGGGAGCGGCGGGGGGCTAGGGGAGTTGGCGCGGGAAGCTGGGGGGTGGGGCCTGCGTGGCAGCAGGCGGTGAAGCCCTTGACACCCTGTGACGCCTGTGTCGCTCCTGAGGTGCTTAGTGAACCTGTCTGCTAGGTGCAGCTCTGAGAAAGATAGTCCTGTTAGAAGCAGATGCATCCCCGAACCCCTGGAGACACTTCGGGGCCTCGGTGGGGAGACGCTACTTCATCCCGTTTCCAGGTCCGGGACACAGCAACCTCAGTGTCTCCACTCTTGTCTCTCTCCTTAATAACTGGTTCCTCCCTTCAACTAAGCCGTTCCCTTACTGTCTTTGAAATAGATACCTTTGTTTAGAGAAAAGAAAAGCGTGAAGTGTTATAGGTGGTGGGAGGAAAATGATGGAGAAACCTCGCATGCTTTGGGGCCCTCGTGTGCGTGTGCACCGTCCTTGCTTCCCTGGAACTGCTGCTATCTATCTACTCCTTTCTCAGCCCCAGCCAGCACTCCTTACACCGCTCTTGCATCCTCTGCATCACTACCTCTTCTCTCCCACAGCCCGTCCCTCTTCTTGGACCAGCCCTGAGGGAAGAGAGCCTTTGAAGATAGATTGAATGCTGAGTTCCCAGGAGTTGCCTGGGAGAGCTGCTCACACGCTGGCCCCTTGCTGCAGAAGATCCCTTGATAAAACTGCCACATGCTTTATCTTTAAGCTTTGCCAAGTGAGGGACATAGCAACTGCCAGGCCAGCTGGGGCTACAGTGAGACCCTGTCTCAAAAAAAAAAAAAAAAAAAAAAAAAGTTGTCTCCAAACCTTGTTACTTACCTTCCAGTCATACCCCACCTGGGTCTTCACCAATCAAAGCCAAGCCATTTCTCACAGCCCATGGACCTTTACCACAGTCCATTTCTCTCTCCACAAAATACACAACCTAGTGTACTGCTCCCTGCAGGTCTTTCCCTCCCTGATGTCTCCCAGGGCAGCAAAACCTAATCCTGACATGAGCTAATTCATGGAGGAACTGGATTCCAGTGCTTTTTTCTGTCAATTGATCCCACAGAGCCCCTACTTATAAGTCCATAGGTATGAGCTTAGAAGTTCCAGGACCATAAAAGCAGGGGGTATGAAGACTAGACTACCTGTTCACATTCGTTTCTGAGTCCTCTGACCCCAACTGAGCCTGGACCTGAATGTGTGAGCATCATGTGCTTGGTAGGTCTGATAATACTCAGCTGCTGATGGACAGCCATGGTCACACAGGTATATGATGTTCCACACCCCTGGGCCCAGCAACATGGCAGAAAGCTACTCTTAGATACCCTGCCTGCCTTAGTACCTGTGGCATTGCTCTAGCCCTCACACGTCTGTACCAGACCCCTCTCTTGAGGCTTGCCAGGGACTCCATACAACATCTTCAATACCATGGACAGATTCCAGTGGGTCCTTTAGGTTGGCTAGGTCTTCCTGATCTAGATCTCCAGCAGCTCTCCTGGACCTTTCTCAGGGCCATTCTTTTTCCTTTTTCTTTCTTTCCTTCCTTCCTTCTTTCTTTCCTTCTTTCTTTTATTTCTTGTTTGTTCAGATAGGGTCTCCCTCTAGCCCCAACTGGCCTGGAACACACTGTGTAGACCAGACTGCCTTTAGTCTCACAGAAATCTTGCCTGTCTCTGCTGAGATACAAGGTATGCACCACCACATCCAGCTTAAGGGCCCATTCTTGCTCTGCACCCCACTCAAAACTGGTCATCCCTGTCATCCCAAGTCCTACATGATCAGATATTGACCAAGTTAGTTATCTGCCCAGCATCATGCTAGTTTTCTTGCAAAAACTAGAGTCAGTTTTTCCTTGCAGTCAGAAAACCCTAACAAAAACAAAGCCCCAGGAGACTTCAGGGGAGGGAGTCAGCAGACCCAGGGGCTAATACCTTGATCAGAGTCCAGTCTCCTTGAGGAGAATGCTATAGAGACATTTTTGCATGCCAGTGCTGTTTGTCGTGCTCAAGAGACAACCACGGTGATGTCACCTCTATCATCCCTAGAGCCCCTGGAGATAGAATGAATGCCCAGGGGAGTCTGTCCAGATTCTTATCTGCTAGGTTCTATCTTGACCCTGTGCAATTCCCAGCTCCATCCCAGCCCATTTGATCCTGGTTCCTAGGAGTCAGTCATGGCTTTGCCCAATGGCTTCCCTACAAGGGAGATTTCAGGAAAGTTGACAGCAGCCCACCACACAGAAACTGCCCAGACTTCTTCTCCCACTGTAAAAGGAAAGCTTTTCGTCACAGCTTAGTGACAGGATGGCCCCTTCCTTGATCAGCATACCCCACTGTTAGTATCTGGTTGAAAGAAAGAAATCACTGTCAAATCCAAGGCCACCAAGGTTTTCCTCAGGGTATATCCTAGGATTTATAGTTTGGGGTTTTACATTTAAGTCTCTGTTTCATTTTAGGTGATGTTCATAAACTGTGAGATTTGTGTCTGTCTGGGCTGCTGTGGTAGAATACCTCTCTTGCAATTTACAAGCAACAGAAATGTATTGCTCACTGTTCAGGAGTCGGGAAAGCCCCAAGATCATGGTAATAGTATATTCAGTGTCTCCTGAGAGTCTGGTCCACCTCGTAGCCTCCTCACACATTGGAAAAGGCAGGCGAATAAGGAAGGAACTTTTTTTTTGAGACAGGGTCTCCCTGTAGCCCCAGCTGACCTGGAACTCACTACATAGACCAGGCTGGCCTCGAACTCACAGAGATCCACCTGCCTCTGCCTCCCAAGTGCTGGGATTAAAGGCGTGTACCACTACACCCACCTCTAGCCCTGAGGCATTGAACCCACTCGCTTGTGTGGGCACACATGGTGTCACAGCCTCACAGAGAGACTTGCCTCCTACCCCTATCAACTTGGTAGTCAGGTTTCAAAACGGGAATTTTGGAGGGACACCTCCAAAACACAGCAGTCTGTGTCTATGCTTTTTTTTTCATATGGATATCTACTGCTCACTTGCTTCTCAATTTGTCCAGAGGCAGATACTCCAGGATCTCACAGAGTGTACTTCATTGAGGAACTTCATGACATAAGTATGTTGCAAGACTGAATGAAGCCCCACTATTTGAGTCAGAAGAGATTTGTATGTACATATGTTAGATAATACAGAGTCACCATCCAAGCTGGAATATACCTGACCTGGTTTATCTTAAGCTAGTATCAGAGTCAGGTACAGTCCTGGTACTTGGGTTTCAGTCAAGTGCCATGGACCTCTATAGTGGCTTTTATCTACTTATGCTTCACTGGGATGCTATGAAGGAAAATCCCACCAGGGTTACTGTGGGGCAGTCATGGTAGTTACAACTCAAGACAGCTGTAGTGCTTTCAAACTGCATCCCTACACTGCTCAATGATCACTGGGCACCAGTGTAGTGCTGCACACCTGTAATCCCAGCACGCAGAAAACTGAAGCAGGAGGTTTGTGAGTTTGAGGCTAACATAATCTACAGAAAGTAAAAGACCCTGTCTCAAAAAGAAAAAACAGAAGAGCGGGGGTGAGGGGCAATGGAGCCAGGCATAGTGGCTCAGACCTTTAATCCCAGCCCTCAGGAGGCAGAGGCAGGTAGATCTCTGTGAGATGGAGGCCAGCCCGGTCCACATAGTGACTTCCAGGTGGGCTGGGACTATGGAGACCCTATTTGAAAAAAAAAAAAAAGAGGAACAGACGTATTTTGGTCTATTGTCTCTTACTGCTACTCCATTTTTCAAAACTGGAAATGTGCTGGGTGTGATGACACACCTATAATCCCAGCACTCTGGAAGCAGAAGCAGAAGGATCTCTGCAAATTCAAGGCCATCCAGGCTCTACAGAAAATTCCAGACCAGGCAAGGCTACACAATAAGACCGTGTCTCAAAAATACACACACACAAACACACAACACAGGCAGGCACTATTGATATAATGGGGGAAACAAATGGAGGAGGCCTGGAGCTGCTTTTGTTCGTCATGAGAACACGCCTGACTGACTCGTAGGAACACGGGGTTTGCTTATTAAGTTCCAGTTCAAAGAGTCATATAACTCACTATCCACCAGCATTTGTCTGCACAGAGATCTCTTTCATTTTGTTTATTTTTGGGAATCAGAGGCAGGAGGATAAACTACAATTATAGGTCAGCTTGCTCTACATAGCTAGCTACTCAGGGCTACATAGCAAAACCTTACATCAAAAAACAAGGCCGGGCGTGGTGGTGTACACCTTTAATCCCAGCGCTCGGGAGGCAGAGGCAGGTGGATCTCTGTGAGTTCAAGGCCAGCCTGGTCTACATAGTAAGTTCCAGGACAGCTGGGGCCACAGGGAGACCCTGTCTCAAAAAGACCAAAAAACAACAAAAAAAGCCAAGCGTGGTATCACACACCTTTAGTCCCAGAACTGGAGGGGCAGAGGCAGGTGGATCTCTGTGAGATCAAGGCCAGCCTAGTCTACATTGTGAGTTCCAAGCCAGTTGAGGTTACAGGGAGACCCTGTCTCAAAAAGACAAAAAATAAATAAATAAAAAGCTGAGGGGCTGGTGAGATGGCTCAGCGGTTAAGAACATTAGTTGTTCTTGCAGAAGACCTGGGTTCGAATCCCAGCACCCACATGGCAGCTAACAACTGTCCGTAACTCCACTCCCAGGGGATCTGACAGCCT